TTGTTTATGACTATTGTTTGAATATCTGAGTTCTATCAAAGTTTTAGCCAATGTTTGAAATGAGTAAAAAGTATTTTCCACATTTGTATCTATTGTTACGGCTGAACAACCAAAACAATGAGATAAACAGTAATATCTCTAATAAGATTATTTGATCTTTTATAATCAAATAAAAAAGGAAGAATCACTCATTTTTAAAACATTAAGTTTAGTATTTCCCAATCTGAAGTTTTCCAGATATGTGGACTTCAATCCTACAACCACTACGCACAACTTAATTTGGAGCCAGTTTTAAAACAGAAAAATGAATATATTATCAATATTCTATTATTCCTTCCAAGCCTTAGGGGATTAGGCTAGAACTGTAAATATAAAAATGTTTTTGACATTATGGCTAGGTTTGAAACAGATAAATGTCAGAGGAAAAAACCTGAAGCTTTTAAAAGCTGTTTAAAATATAAATGGTACATCTATCTAGGAATTGTAGAATGCAAGTATAATTAAAATCTTATATGTAGTGATCCACACCACAATGGAAAAATCAAGAGTTATGAATGCCTTAAAGCTATGTTTTTCTCCTTTTTACAGTGTGTTACTAGTTTTGTTTTATTCTGCTTTATTTAGAAGAGCTGAAACATTTATTAACATGGGGATGCAGAGCTTTGAAAGAGTTTCTGAGTCATGGAGTTCCACAATATGCCCTCTCTCAATCCAATTTTCTAGCTGAGTGGACAGTGGGTCAAGGCTGTCCAGTAATGAGATAAAGGGTAATTCTATTAGGAGAGTCTCTCCTAGCTGGCTTGTTTATTATCAGGTCTTAGAGCTAATCAAGAAGTTTAATAGAACCCAATAGTACAGTTTATACTTGGAACGGTGTTTTACTAAATGTAGTTGAATATTTATGAGACTCAAATATGATCTGCTCCATATAGAAATATCATGTGCAATAATGTTCTTGTGTATCCACCTTCTACTCATAAAACAACAACACTGCTTAATCTTAGAAGACAAAGATACTGCAGTGGAAAGGCAAGAAAGCAAAAATAAATATGTACCATTGCATTTTGGATAAGATGACTTCTTGTTGCCAGTCTATTTTGGTATACAGTAAAAAAAAACAGTCACTCTCTGTAGAGAAACAAGCCAGCAACCAGCAGGTATCAACTTCTCACACTGGTAATCTAGTATAATCTCTCTCAACCTGGTGTATTTGGACCACGCTGCCCAAAAATTTCCCAGTTGGAATGGCTGTTGGAAATGTTGACTTGGGGATTTGGAAACTGTTCTTTCACCTTATATGAACAGCAGTACCGTAGATTCACCAAAGTAAATTAATCCTTCTCTTTTTTCTCTCCTATTTGCCACCTTGAAATTGCAAATTATGGCCAATTATACTCAAAAATTTTCATGTTTGATAGTCTTGTTAGTCAATAAAAATGAAAGATATTGCAAATAAGATCCATATATATAGCCACACAGTAGCATATAATTACTCAAATGCCTCCTAAAGTTTGAATAATGTTGGTTCAGTCAAATAAGAGGGTGAAAGCCAAGATGGCATTTATTAGGTAGTTTTCTGAGTATGCCAATGTTATTTCTTTCTCTAGAGTTTTCTTCCATTTTCATGGGAGTCTAAGTTGTACCCAAGTGGAAAGTTAAATTAACTTGTTGACTAACTTTTATTTCTCTATAATTGTATTGGTCCCCATTAAGTGAAGCATATATTGCTTTGGTTATCCATTGGCCATTGGAATGTTCTAAGCAATGCTATGAATATTCCATGGTATTAGCTCTCAGTTGTTATAATGGAGATGTGATTCCGCTGCTGCTAGAAAGTAAGAAATGTCTTAAAGAGTGAGGAATGTTTAGCTCTAAACAAAGTAAGTTTTTACAATGTACTGTAGTTTTCAGTTGGCAAAATCCACTATCTTGCAATAGTGTGGCCCGTTATTAGTAAGTGTTTCAGTTCATAGCCCATATTATCTTCAACAAAAATCCCCATTTAAAATTAAACGTATTATCACAGTTCTGGATCAAGAAAGTAGCTATTGTTGCACTTTTTCTACTGTAATGCAGATTTCTATATATTTTTTGGCTGAACATAATAAACTTTGTTTGGTCTTAAATGTCTTATGCTGTTGCTTGTAATTTTTAATATATAGCTTCACACAATGTAATTATAGTTCATATAAACTTACTATGTGTGGGTTTCATAAACACTGCCTCCTAGATTTTCAGTGAAATAGCAAGAAAAATGGTTAGGCATTATTTAAAATCATAGACTTGGAAAGGGTTGCATAAGAGCTGCAGTGGCACAGTGGTTTAGAGTGCAATACTGCAGGCTACTTCTGCTACTGCTGGCTGGCTGCAATTTGGCAGTTCAAATCTCACCTGGTTCAAGGTTGATTCACCCTTCTATCCTTCTGAGATGGGTAAAATGAGGATCCAGATTGTTGGGCTTAATATGCTGACTCTGTAAACCACTTGGAGAGGGCTGCAAAGCACTGTAAAGCAGTATATAAATCTATTGCTATTAGTCATTAAGTCCAACCCTCTGCTTTAAGGTCCCTTCTCAAACCTATACAGTGAAGGGAAACTCCCAATAACTCCTAATGGTTTTGCAGTTGAACTGGTAGGCATTTCAAATTGATTGGAAATCTGTCTTACTGAAATTTAAAGTCATTATTTCATACACATTGGGGTGATACAGAACATCCCAATGTTCTCTTGGCTATCTTCTGTGTAATAGAAGAGTCAGTTTGATCCAAGTGGTGAAGGCACCAGGCTAGAAATTAAATGACCATAACTTTGGCATGAATGCCAGCTGGGTAAACTAGGACCAGTCAATCTCTCTCAGCCCAATTCACCTCACAATGCGGTTTGTTGTGAGGAAAATAGGAGGAAGAAAAGATATTAGGTATGTTCATCGCCTTGAGATATTGTTAAGTTCCTTCATGCCATGTTTACATGACATATGGTGATATTGTAAGATTTCAATATTTATATTTATTTAAATAATAATTTGATTTGATAGGACATACTCTACAAAGAACATTGAAATATTTGTCATTCAAAGTGAATTCTTAAACATAACCTGTAAAATTCTTCTGCCTCAGATAGTGTTATCTCTCTATAACAAGTCCTCTGTCCTTAAAAACCACTGAAACCATTAATCAAAGAATAGAATGTTCAAATTAGCTCCAATACAAAATTCCTTAGAAAGTGTAACTAAAATAATTCAATATAAAATACTATACACAAAGATTAGTTACATTAGCTAATTACAACTCTCTCAGCTTTAATAGCCCATGTGGTTTTGCCCCATTAACAAACTATTTAGTGGTATAATGGTTTAGATTTTTAAATATTAGTTTCACTTGTAAGGATGTATTAAACAACAATTATTTAGGCATGCACTTATTGGAAAAGAACAGGAAAAATGTAGGCTACAGGATATTAGAAAGCAATTTTTGATAGTGTATTAATATTTGATAGTGAGATTTGTAGGGTGCCTCTTGACAAACTGACTCTGTGGCATAGGTAATACTCTTTATGTATTTGTTCTGAAAAATAAAATTATACAGGAAATCCAAAATAAAATGCAAGTAAATAATTCCCACTTATCGTCAAGAAATTTGGACATAAAGTAAAATAATATTTCTCAGAATTTAAAAGGACTGTGAAACAGTATGTAAGTCTAAGTGCTATTGCTATGTGGCCATGTATGCCTTCAAACCAGTTGGTTCTTGGTAAGATTTTAGAAGTTGTTTGCCATTGCCCCCTTTATCCAAGGGCTGAGAGAGGGACTGGCCCAAGGTTACCCAGCTGGCTTTATGCCTAGGATGTTAAGGTCTCTTGGATTCTAGCCTGGTGTCTTAACTACTACACTGAACTGACTCTACAATCTTATAAACAGTAGCTAACAAATCCCTTTCAGCCATTTTATTAAGTAAACACAGAGCTGTGAAAAAGTTCAGCCAAGTCTTTCCATCCTGAAAGCAACTTGGAGAGATGAGACACGGAGTCAAGCGCTACATTATAATCCCATCAACCAATGAATTAAATTTCAATCTGTAGAGTTTTTTTTTATTACAAAACATTTGACACAAGGCAAAGTTACAGAGTTAATGTGCTTAATGATGTCAGATTAGTAAAAAAATGATCTCTGAAACTAAGAAGAAATTCTTATGGAGGCTGAATGTCCAAGAGGGCAGGGCCAGCCACTTGAAGGCTTCTGCATATCCATTTTAATGATGGTTGTTTCTAAGTAAAAAAAAAATTATTTGATCTTTTTTTCTAACAGAAACTTGGCTGGGGCGGAAGACCAATATTTTATTTTGAGGGAATCTCCTTTAATCGCTTTGGTACATTTCTCCTTCATTCACCCTCCTTAGAAAAGCTTTCCAAGCCACTATAGATTTCTGTCCACTCCCCTTTTCAGGCTTCAATCCAATTATGAATAGAAAAAGACTTTTAAAGTGTAATAGAACATTCCTCTTACAAGACACAGCAATGGTAAATCTCACTTATTGCAGAAACTGACTGTAGGATAACGATTATAACAGTACTTTGAACTTTATCAAATTGTACTTTCTGCAAGAATATGTCTGTTAACTGGGATCATCCATAAAACTAAAAAAAAAAAATGGTATTATGTTTTAATACACCAATCATGAGCTCCATCATAGATAGCCTGAAGTTCCAAGACCCTACAGAATTCAGTTATTACTGCTTTGTAGAAAATCAAAGTCTGTACCAATGGAGTCTCAGAGGGATGCCCACACTAATCTCTGGTTGGCCCACACTAATTTCAACCCTCCCATTTGGAGATAATTACCACCCAAACTTCTATGACTGTACCAGTCTACCTGGAGAAGGTGATTCCAAAGGTAGTAACATAAGAGTCAAGCCATATAAGACTTTTAAAAACAGAACCAAAATACAGAATTGTAACCCTAAATCTATTGGCAACTACTGCAACATCTACTGTAGGTGTTAACAAGGCTGATGCAATTCTTACATTGCCAACATGTGGACAGGTACGTTTTGCATCTACTGTCGTTACTAAATAGTTCACAAAAGCAGCCCTGTATGTGGTGCATTGCAGTAATCTACCCTGGCACCAGATCCTTTTGCTCCAGGTATGGCCAACACACTGGTTCCTTAGCCACAGCCTGTGCCTTGTTAGCAATCTGGAATGCCCTCTAGATAGAAAGATGAGACTCAAGTGAATGAGGTGATTTTAATAACAGCGAATTGTTGTATTCCATTTTTAATATTTGAACTATATTACAATCTAATAATATCATATGTACACTTGAAATCCAAAGTCCCAAATGAATTTGTTTTGAAACTACGTTTATAAAAATAATGCGTGCAAAAGTATAATTCTTGCCTATGTATTGTTGAAGGTAGTCAAATCCAAATGGTCTGGTTATCCACATAGCTCTATTTGCATGTCTTCAGCATTTTTATGATTACCTTGAAACTAGACCTTGCTTCCTGCAAGACATAAAGACTTTTGGTTCTTGCGAAGTCAAAGATTTTGAACCAGAGGAGGAATCCAGCTGCCAGGAAGTCCTAACATTTTCAAAAATCTGTTCTGAAAACTCTCCGGAAGAGTGGAAGTGGTGATAAGGTGGCTGGCAAGGGTGACGGACAAAGCTTGCCTTACTCCTACTCTGAAGAAAACTCCAGGAGATTCCATCACTGTAGAAATAAATTCTGGGTCCCATTTAATAATATGAGCTCTTCCAAAAAAATAATAGTAATTGTACAAGTGATGTCATTATTAGACATAGATCTGCATTGTATTTCTATGGCAATGCATTCTTACATTTACAGAACGTTCAGAGATTGGGCAGAGAACTGCTATTCTACTAATGTCCCAAAGGTGCTTTTTCAAGGGACAACTGGACCATCTGGTTTTTCTATGAAGACTGAAGCTTCCTGGATTAGAAGCGAACCGTCTTCAAAGAAAAACCAGAAAGTCCATTTGCCTCTTGGAAAAGCACCTTTAGGACAACCATGACCTGGATGACTGAGAATCTCCATACTCTACTAATGGTTTCCCACACAAGGTGAAATAATTTCTTAGGACAGTATGAGCTGATTGCCAAGCACGGTCAGTTGTCTCACATGTTCAGGAAAAAAAGATCAGCTATATGTCCAGGAAAAGTTATTGGAAGTAGAAGCAAATGAACTTAAAATTTTATCCAGGTTTCTCTGCTTCAAAAAGAAGCGTCTGGTATTTGAACTAAGTTTCTCAAGTTGATTATGGGGCCATGCTCACTGTAGACTGTATGTTTGTTTCACATTTTTAATTGAAAGTGTTACAATGAGGGCACGGAGATCTTTTCGGTTTCTGTGTATTGTTATCCTTCCTTTCAGTTCTTCACCTATAGAAACAAAACACAAATGCAAAGATTTTAAGTCTGTAGCAAACAGATTTTATTTGCTAATTTAAATCCCTCCCTCTGTCCTCCCAAAGTCTACCCCAGAGAAGATGGAGGTAAAGTGGAATGATAGTATAGGTTGAAACAAATGAAAATCATTAAGGAACATTACTGGGTTTTCCTCTAGTATTAGTACATAAATGTATTTATTTATTTCTGCTACAAATTATACGTTGTTCAATTTTCCAAAGTCTTTTAGAGACTTATACACGTTAAAAATAAAATAAAAATAACAAGGAAAACAAAACAGCAATCTAACACTAAGAACAATAAATCTTCTTGTCTATTACCACAGTATTAATTTGATATTACGTGGTGAGGTTCTGATGATTATTGGTTAAGATTTCTCCTGACTAGCTCCAATGATGTTGATCTTATAGAAATAACATCCTGCTTTCCTACATACCTCTTTAGATTTCAGATTAACCTGGATGACTCAATTCTTTGAGGTGAATGTATTTCTTTGTACTTGCATGGCTATGCTTGTCTATGGAGATTCTCAATGATCCAGGTCGTGGTCGTCCCAAAGGTTCTTTCCAAAAGGCAATTGGATTTTCTTGTTGTTGTTTTTTCCTTTGAAAACATTCACTTCTTAGATGAGAAACGTTTTCAAGGGGGAAAAACCAAGTTGCCATTTGGAAAAGAACCTTTTGGACATGGCCACCCTTCTTGTCAAAGTGACAGTATATAATAAAAAGAATCAAAAGAGCACTACAAATAGCCATAAAACGCAGTATTTTTTTTTTGCAATTCAGAAACTTTCTCAAAACAAAGTTTCAATTATTATAGTAAATAATCTTGGAAGAATTTTATGTAGATATTTCCAGAGCTTTTATTAATTTAAGTAATTGAAATAAAGCAGAAAAAAGTAGTACTACTGAAAGTAGTATTGCACTTGTTAAATATATGTGAATGTTTAACTTGGCATGGCACACACTACAATAATTTGTAAAAGATGTAGCCATCTTCTGTGACTGCAAAGATAAGGTAAGCTTGTTTTTATAATTAAACAGATTAATTTTCTGATATGTATAACAAAACCTGATGACACTTTCTTCAAAATACCCACAGCAAAAACAATTATAGGTAGTCCTTGACTTACAACAGTTCATTTAGTGACCGTTCAAAGTTACAATGGCACCAAAAAAGTGACTTATCATTTTTCATACTTACATGCTACTTGACCTTTGTAGCATCCCCATGATCACATGATCAAAATTCAGATACTTGGCAATTGACTCATACTTATGACTGTTACTGTGTCCTAAGGTCATGTTGCAATCTTTTGACAAGCAACATCTATGAGGAAGCCAGGTTCACTTAACAACTATGTTACCCAGAAGTGGTATTCAGCAGGTTCTGACCAGTTCTGGAGAACTGGTAGCGGAAATTTTGAGTAGTTCGGAGAACCGGCAAAGACCACCTCTGACTGGCACTGCCCCCATCTATTCTCTGTCTCCCGAGTCCTAGCTGATCAGTTTGGTCTTCTTTTGTTGCCCTGCACAGGAGAACAGAGCTGGAAAGCAGGTTAGTGAGGTGGGGAGGGAATGGAGATTTTACAGTATCCTTCCTCTGCCATGTTCACCAGGCCACGCTCACAGAACCGGTAGTAAACTTTTTTGAATCCCACCACTAATGTTACCAACATCAATAGCAGTGGTTCACATAAGAATTGTGGCAAGAAAAGTCGCAAAATGGCACAAAACTCACTTAACAAATATTTCACTCAACAACAGGAATTTTGTGCTCAATAGTGGTTGTAAGTTAAGGACCACCCGTATTAGCTGAAAAATGCTATAGTTTTTTAAAATGTTTGTTGATGTAAAGCTGTAATTCTACCCCAGATCATTTCATCAGCACAGAGTTTCACTTTAATTATGGGATTAAAACCTGCTTTTTAAAGCAAATGAATCTGTGAAACCCGGTGAATTTGTGAAATCTAGAAAATAGCATTTTTATAAGAACTGATGAGAGTTTTCAATCAGGGCAGCCCTCCATTATTTATTACCAAGCTAATTGCATTAAGTGAACCAGACAATCAGCTTTATTCATTGTCACGAGGCAGATCTTTGCCTGTCTCGCTCCAATGGGCTACATTAAATCTCCTTTTGTGCGCCACCATTTCTGTTCCTGAACTGAAGCAATGGCAGGGCAATCAGAACAGGAAAGAAGATCAGGCCAATTAATCAATGCCATGGGGAAATAAAATGACTGATGTGCTCTCAACAGCTTTGCTGCTCTAAACACAGTAGAGAGGATGCCTTCGAAGGCTGAGCTGCATCACCTCTGCTCAAGAAGTAGGTGAGATACAAGTCACGCTGCAGTCTGATGCAGCCTGAATTCATCACCCTACTCCTATGGAACTAACACTCCTCCAGCAAATAAAATGAAGTCTGATTTCCCTTTAACAAATCTTCCAGAGAAGCATGCAATTATAATGACTATGGTTTTTTTAAATCCCTTGGAGGCCTGGTTCTACGGCTGAGCACATTATAGCAATTGTCATAGTTGGCTTTTACTTCAATGGAAATGTTACCCACAGACATACTGAATGATCTTTATGGCAGCTAAGGGCTAAAAGTAATTATATTGCTCAACCGCAAGATGGGAAATTGTTCATAAGCTAATGAGATTAGTAGCAGTATAAGCCTCCAGAAACAGCAAGTATAAATACGCAGTATCTAAGACCACACATGTTAAACTGGCTCATCACTAGTAAGCCATACGCTTGAGTTACCTGCTTTTTTTTTTTTTTTTGTATTTCCTGCAAAATTTTGTATTTATATTTTCTGTATTTCAGATTCAGTTTGAGAAAATGGTCTTAAATGTGCCTCTTGTTTCCATAGTTTTAAATTAAAAGTAGCTATTTTGGAGTGTGTTTATTGAAATTCATTAAAAAAAATTAAAATATTACCAATAGTCTAAAAAGAAGGCTCTCTCATATATGATTTTCATATTTTCTGGCAAAATAAGTCTTACTATCTACACACATATTTACATTGAGTGCACACTTTTATTGATCTAGCTGAACTGAATTAAACTATCAAGAATGAAATAGCCTTCAGTAAAATGCCCCTTTTAAAATATTTTGATTGCTCATGTAAAGATTGCTCTTTACTATCTTAAAGTCCGTGTAGAAACTACATAGCAAGGAACCATAAAAACATAAAAGATGCGCTTGTGCTAATTTATTGCTAATAGAATTTGCTGGCATAAGGATTTTATTTTTCAGCTTAATTCAGTAAGTCAATACAAAAAAATAAAGCTTTTTTGGAAAAAAAATCAAGGTAAGTTATACATACTGACAGAAAGTAGAAAACATACTCTGTCAGGGAAGATACAGAATATACATTATGTTTGTGGTGTGTGAATGTACACCCACCCACACATATACACACACTCACACAATATTAAGAGCTGGGGGAAATTAGCCAAATTTAGTACGGTATAAATTTGTATAAATAAAACTACAGCATATTCAGGCAATAGCTGTAGAATTGGCGGTATGCATTTCTGTTATCTAAGATTCTGATTTTAAAAAATTCCCTTTAAGAGAAATGTAAATTTACTTGTCTCTGAAATATCAGATGGGTCTTTCTTCACCGATTTAGCCCTGTAGCAAAATATTGAGAACAAATGAAGCACAGTAGCAATGTTCTGTTGAACCTCATTCTGTGTACCACTGTCACATTCCGGAGCATCATTCAATATCTCTTTACTCACTTCATCATCATCAGCTATGCAAAGTACATTTTGAAAAGCATGTTGCCATGACCTCTTAGAAAAAAGGAATTGTATGAAACTAACATTGCTGTTGATACAGAGAAGGAGTTTAAGGAAGGATATTTCACATATGCCAACACATTTTCACAAGTGCCCCTTGTAAATGCACTTTTCCTGCACAGTCAAATGGTCTGGTGATTTTACCAGTTGCCCTTTCTAGCCAAAAAAAAAAAAAATTAAATCAAAAATGATGCATGGTATAATCATATTACATGAATGTTACAACTGGCTTATGGAAACAAAGAATCAGAAAACTGTATTATTTTTGTTTGCCTAAAGGAGATATAACAAATGAGTAATTATTGTAAATAAATGCTTATGTAGAAATAGTATTCTCTTGTGCTCCAAACAAACTGGCATAATCCATACACTGGGTAAAAATCTGATTAGCCATTAGCTTCTCTACATAGAATTGCAGAATGTTATAAATTGCAAGGGGCCTTCTGGGTCATGTGGTCCAAACTTCTGCAATTGCCGGAAGTCTATTAACCCATCCCAACAGATGGCCACCCAGCTCATTTGTAAACTTCCGGTGAGGGAATCCACCACTGATCTAGACAGACCGTTCAGAAATCACTTGATACTCAGTCTGAATCTCCTGTTAGTGTCAACACACTAGGCTTGTGGTTTTAACAGAAAACATATTTGCCCCCTTGTGCATGACAACTTTTAGTTATTTGTAGACTGCTATGATGCGTGTTGTCAACTTCTCTTTTGCAAGCGAAGCATGTCTACATTATTTAATTGCTTCCCATATCTGGCTGGTGGGCAGCTTTACCATCAAGATAGTTCTCTTAATCTGCACCAGTTTCTACATATTCTTTTTAAAGTGTGGTGCCTTGATTACTAATCAAATCTGATTAGTAATAAAATGGGAGACTACCGGGAAACAGTAGGGTAGTCCGGAAAATTGAAACAACATACTGGAAAGAAGATAATGATAAACCACTTTCTGATCATTGCCAAAAAAAATAAATGTCTGTATCCACTAGTCACAAAAAGTTAACTTAAGCAACCATTTATCTTTTTTTCTATGACTCTGCAACTTCAACGTATGCATAGGAATTCATTTTTACATTACCATTACAAACACAAATAATTAATATGCAGGAAATGGACAAATGGACAAAGAAAAATGGGCAGATTAGTGGAAGTATTTACTCCAAGTGCAGATTACCAGTACAGACAGCAATTGAAGTATTATCTTCTGTGATCTGGGCATAATCTTTTGGTTAATATGACCCAAAATGGCACTAACCTCTTTAGCTACTGTAATATTGTTTGCTATTTGTCTCACTGACATTCCTAACAACTTTCCACATAGCATGTATCTTTAATCCTGTACTTATATACATTTCATATTGATAACCTTATTACTGTTATCAATGAACATCATTCTTTGGGGTTTGGCCCAATAGTAATCCGCTTGAGATCATTCTGAACTGTGAATTTTTTTTTGTCCTCTATGATGCCAGCCAACTCTTGAAGTTTAGTAGCATCTTCAAATCTGACTGGCATGCCTTCTATTCCATGCTATTTTTAAAGCTATAGAAAAGCACTAGTCTGAAGACAGAATCTTGGGAATCCTATTCAATCACTACAGAATCATTTAATAAAAGGTGTGCTGGTTCGACCAACTGCAAAATCTACTGCTCCACATTACCCTCTAGCCCATATTCATCCATCTTGTTAAAGAGTAAAAGCAGATATTTTGTCAAATGCTTTATTGGTATTATGATATGCTATGTCCACAGCATTCCCATATCTCTTCCCACCCCCAGTGATTCCTTTTGAAATAAAAAGATAAGTTTAGTTCGCCAATTTGTTTCTGCAAAACCCATGTTGTTTTCAGGTAGCAATACCTTTTCAAACAGTTTGTAGGCATGTTACTTGACAATCTATCAACATTACTATGCTTTCAACTATCATTTTCTAGAGCCTTTCTATTGCCTTTTTAAAATACTGGGACTATGTTTGCTCTTCCAATACCTAATCAGTTCTCTAGGCAGTTTCCAATATTATACTCAACAGTACTGAGGTCATTTCTATCAAATGGCATGTAATTTGCAAGGCCCAGAAGTCTTAAATTCATGTAAAATAGATGGATTCTTACAGGTCAATGGGGAACCTGACAATGTCAGAATTTATTAGTTTCCCTGCATCATGTTGAGGATTTCCAAATGTCTCCCTCCATTACTAGCCATGCATGTAGCTACCAGTAATGCCTAACACTACTATCTGAATATGTGTCTCTGTTTGTTTCCCACATCCAATTTAAAGCCCTTCTGAAAAAGTTAACGAAGTATTTGCTAATACTTGGGCAATTCTGCCCATTTTTCTTTGTACATTTCCCTGTTCCTTTTCCCTATTCCCATTCTCAGTGTGCATATTAACTATTTATGTTTGTAATAGTAATGTAAAAATGAATTCCTATGCATAAGTTGAAGTTGCAGAGTTATAAAAATATAACCAGTTGCTTTTTGTGCCTAGATGGATTAAGACATTTTTTTTTTTGGCAATGATAAGGAAGTGATTTGTCATTATCTTCTTCCTAGGATGTTATTTCAATTTTCCGAACTAGCCTAGTTTCCTGGTAGTCTCCTATTTTATTACTAACCAGATTTGATCCTACTCACCCTTAGTAGGCTGAGTATTTCCACCTAGAGTCTTAGAAATTCTGGATCAGTATTAAAATATTTTTCACATATGCTACAACAAAAGCAAAATGGAATAGTGGTGGCACAGGGTTAAGCTTTTGAAATGTATGTGGATTTATTAACATCCAATCTGTTCTGAAAAGTCTAATGGCATGACAAAAATATATACCTTCTTCAACAGAAATTGGTTTCTCCAGAAAAAACATTGTTTGTTTCCAGTGTGTCTTGGTACAACAGGGACTAGTTGAAAGCAGGATCTGCAGTAACAAAATTCAGAGAACCCCAATAAAGTACAAGTCTAAGCAACAAGCTTCATTAATTCATTACATAACCATACATATTAAATGCTTGCAATACCAAATAGGCATATTTCCAAACACCTTAAGGCAAAAAGCTGCCAACGTATAAATATATTCTACAATTAATTTTGAACATGTAGCTTTGAAATACTTACTTGTTTATTACAATTCTTCTCAAAATGCACATCAAAATATCCAGCAATTGCCTTAATTAAAAGGAAAACAAAATAGTAAACAGAAATTTTATTAAATAGGCTATTATACTCATTCCCAATAACAGAAACCAGCCCACTATAATCCATGTTAAGCTTTAACATGCTGAAAATATAACAATGTTTTCTAAAAGGCCTGCTTTCTTCAACACTCCTGCTTTTACTCTTGTGAAGCACTTCTTTCAAATGCTGTTTACCTTTGTTGATGTGCCCATTAGGACTGCCAGGTGGCTTCTTTGAAATTACCTCAGATCAAATAACAGAAAAATTGTCTCCTGTTCTGTCCAGTGACAACACAGTCTGAAACGTGAATCTGTCTGACTTTATATATGAAACTTTATGGACTCAGAAAATATGGACATGAAAATGAATTGTGATTTGCTGATGAACTGGGGGAACCTCTTGAAATATAACAGGCTCCATAATGATCCTTGCTTATGATTCATATTTTTATGTCTTCCATACTGGAAGACATAAATTTGAGATCTTCTGTCTCACCTTCTCTTCCTTCCCTTGTCCATGTTACATCCTTTACCCCCTTTTATTTTTAGGCCTTTCTGTTTCACTTGATTTTTCCTCCACATCTACCCTCATGCACGCTTCCCTTTTCTCCTCAAAATAAAGCAGCAGAAAGTCACGTTCAAAAAGAAGCTGTTTTGCTCCACTCCCTGCTGTAAAAGGAAAAGCAAAATATTTCAGCTGTCTAGTAAGTAAACCAAAATGACTGCTACCCACCCAGTCTAGGTACTAGGCTGCTAAGCTACAGGCTAGGGCAAATGGCTCCTATTATCTAAATTCCAAATTTTTCAGCAACTTCTTTAAGTCACAAAACCTGCCTTTCCCTATCTGTTCCTTTAGTCTCTCCCATGTTGTCAGCAATTCAAGATCGACCAGATGAGAATAAAGTCATGCATTCTAAAACCGTTTTTATTATGATACAGTAACAGAACCTTGCAAATCCAAATGCTCCTTCTTCCTCTCATCTTCAAGAAAATTAGGGGTGTGTGTGTGTCAAGGCAGAGATGCTTTCTCAAATGACATTTCTGACTTTTTTTAAAAAGAAAATCTCCTTTCCTCAAGGTTACTCTTATAGCCCATTATGTATACTTTTTGGCAGGCAAAGAATAATGGCCACGTTTTCCAAAAATATTTGAATTTGAAAAGAAAGGTGGTTGTTCATGGAGAAATAGCTTTAAAAAAACCTATATTACATTCTACAACTAGGCCTGAACCATTTATCAGCACAATTTCAATGTTGACCTATGGGAGGAAAAGCGGCTCTGACTCAACCTTATAAAGATGGAGTTGCTTTGGCTTTTTGCTCCCCCATGGGCTGATGATGTGCTATCTTTGACTCTTGCCTTCTCTAGACAGAGCTGGTGAGCGATTTTGCATATCTTCCTAGAATTGCAGCTCCTGGTCAAAGAGGTGGCAGCCATCATTAGGGGAGCCTTTGTACAAAAATACCTTGTGCATCAATTGTGCCCATTCCTGGTCTGGAAGCCTTGCTTGCAGGAACTCAAGACTTAGTTGCTTCTTAGGTGGACTATTACAATGCATTTTACATCTTGTTGACCTTAAAGCCATGTGGTGCTGGGTGCCCTTAGGTTGCCCATTATCACATCACTGTTGTGACATCTGCCAGATTTTTTTTCTAGGTGCAGTTTGCCAGCCTTTGAAGGCAGATTTGATTAGGAAACTAAAGTCATGCATGCTAATAATGATTTATTTTTTATTTTTTTAAACAGTTTATTAGATTGAAAAGAAAGAAAAAAGAAAAAGAAAGAAAGAAGATGAAAAATATTTAGAATGCCCGAAATTAGGAAAGTTATTTACCACACCAGCAGACGAGTGTAAAAAGAAAGGAATTGCAATATATGTAAAAGAGGATTTAAAAGCAGAGCCAATATGGTCGGATTCGGAAGGAAGGACTCTGGTTTTACAGATCTGGATTAATGACATCCCAATTCTCTTAGTAGTAATTTACGCCCCGAACGGGGACCAAAAAGAGTTTTTTAAACACCTATATGGAAAAATGGTTGAATTGCAACAAAAAAACATCTGTATTATAGGGGATTATCAAAAAGACTGTATTATTGTTGAATATCAAAAAGACCACAGCAACGGCGGGAAAAATAAAAAGGGGGAAAGAGAGCTCCCTAAGATTTGCAGGGAAATGATGAAAGAGCTAAATTTGACAGATATATGGAGAAGACTACATCCTGGGAAAAAACAGTTTACATTCTATTCAAATCCCCACCAAACATGGACACGGATAGATATGGCATGGATGAATGGGGAAATAGCAAACGAAATAAAAGAAGTGGAAATTTTGCCCAATGAATGGGCAGATCATAACCCAATTCAGATAATATGGAAGGGTAGGGTAAAATCAAAGAAAAGATGGACGTTAAACACTCAATTAATAAAAGAGAAAGAATACATCAATAAATTAAAGGAGGAATTAAACTTTTTTATAAAAGAAAACGATAATGGAGAAACTACAAAACAAAATATATGGGATACAATGAAGGCGGTAATAAGAGTTATAACAATCTCTTATAATGCCAAGAGAAATAAGGAAAAATATTCCCAACAAAATAAACTACAACGAAGAATTAAGGAGCTGGAAACTCTACTACAGAATACTCCAAAAGATACAAAACTGCAAAACCAGATAAGTATAGCTAAACATAAATTGAATTTAATCGAACAAGAGAAAATGATTACAAATTTGAATTTGACTAGACAAACCTATTTTGAACATGCCAACAAGCCAGGAAGATGGCTATCTTATAAATTAAAAAAAAAGAAAGAAAAGAGAATGATATACCAGTTAATAGATAACAAGGGAGATATATACCAGGAAATAGAACAGAAAAAAGAAATCATTCATAAATACTTTGAAGATCTATACAAAAAAGAAGAGGTTAGTGAAGATAGAATAAGGAACTATTTAGATGAAGTTAAAGATAAGGTAATTGGGGAAGAAATGGCAGAACTATTAAATAAAGACATTACTGAATCGGAATTGAAATCAGCAATAGATAACCAGAAAAATAACAAAACCCCGGGCCCAGATGGAATCCCAGGGGAGCTCTACAAGGGAATAGTAGAACAAATCGGACCATTTATGTTGGAAGTTTTTAATGACGTTTTACTAGCAGCCAGGATGCCGGACTCATGGAGGGGGGCGCTGATTTCGCTGATCCTGAAGGAGGATACAGATCCCAGATATATAAACAATTACAGGCCGATTTCACTTCTAAATACCGATTATAAAATATTCACTTCTATTATAGCAAACAGATTAAAAAGATTGCTAAACTTGTATATACATGAAGATCAAAACGGATTCCTTCCAACTAGGCAAATAAAGAATAAATCTAAGAATAGTATTAGACGTACTAGAATTTTATGAAGCCCACCCTGAGAGACAAGTAGCACTCATGTTCCTAGATGCAGAAAAAGCTTTCGATAATCTGAATTGGCAATTTTTAATTCAAAAAATTTATAATTTGAATCTGGGTACCAAATTTGAAAATATTATAACAACTATCTATGACACACAACAAGCCAATATAATAATAAACGGGGAACACACTCGCCCAATAAAGATAGAAAAAGGAGTGAGACAGGGCTGCCCACTCTCTCCTCTGCTCTTCATATTATCATTAGAGACATTATTAACGCGAATTAGGCGAAATTCAGATATAAAGGGATTAACGGTTAAGAAAGAGGAATTTAAATTGCAAACATTTGCGGACGACATGATTTTCTTCATTGAAGAACCAATAGATAGGGGACTAAAATTGATGAAAGAACTAGAGAAATTTGGAGCAGTAGCAGGACTTAAAATAAACAGGAAAAAAACCAAATTAATGACCAAAAATTTAACAGAAAAACAGAAAATAGAATTAGAAGAAACAATGGAAATACAAGTGACAAAGAAAGTGAAATATCTAGGAATTTGGCTAACACCACACTGTAAGTCACTTAAAGAAAATAATTATGACAAATTGTTACATCAGGTAAAGAAAGATTTAGAATCATGGAGTAAACTTCAAATTTCACTATTAGGTAGGATTGCCACCATTAAAATGAACATTCTCCCCAAATTTCTATACATATTCCAAACGATCCCAATTAAATTACACAAAAAGTTCTTCGAAGAACTTAACAAAATAACCCTCAAATTTATTTGGCAAGGGAAAAAACCCAGAATAAATGTAAAAGCAATGCAAGATATGAAGAGCAGAGGAGGGTTAGCAGTCCCAAACTGGGAGTTATATTATATGGCCACCTCGTTAGTTTGGTTGAAGGACTGGGTGAATTTAACTAATAAAAGAATATTATTTCTAGAAGGCCACGACTTACAAAGGGGGTGGCACGCTTTCTTATGGGACGTAGGGAAAACCAGTCAAAAATATTTTCATAGACATTTAATTAGAGACGTGCTACTAACAATTTGGAAGAAAATACGGAAAAAACATTACATAAAAATACCAATATGGATTTCAACAATGGAGGCGATGATTCACCCAAACAATCTGGAAATTACTAAAATGATTAAATATAAAGACTTATTGGACCCACAAGGAAATTTGAAATCGAGGCAGGAAATTCAGGACCAGGGACAAAAAATTGATCAATGGGTTTACCTTCAGATTCAAAGTAGGTACAAACAAGACAAGAAAGAATTTGGAATTAACAACAAACTTCAACAATTAGATAAAATTTTATTAGGACCGGACAAAAAAAACATAACAAAATTTTACAATTATTTACTAGAAACAGAATTAGAAGAAGAAATTGTAAAAGGGAATATGATTGCGTGGAGTCGGAACGTAGGACGTAGTATTACACTAGCGGAATGGGAAAAAGTTTGGGGCAGGAATAATAAGATCACAAAATCGGTAGCATACAAGGAAAATCTTTATAAAATGTTTTATAGATGGCATCTCCCTCCTTCGAGACTAGCGAAGATGCACCCC